GATGCTGGGGCTATAGGCAAGCACCACCACACTCTTTTTTTTTTTTTTTTTTTTTTTTTTGAGACAGAATCTCACTATGTCGCCCTCGGTAGAGTACTGTGGCATCATAGCTCATAGCGACCTCAAACTCTTGGACTCAAGAGATTCTCTTGCCTCAGCCTCCCAAGTAGCTAGGACTATTACTACTATACTGTGGCTCAGGCTGGTCTCGAACCTGTGAGCTCAGGCAATCCACCTGCCTTAGCCTCCCTGAGTGCTAGGATTATAGGCTTGACCCACCACACCTGGCTTTTATTAGTGATTGTTTTTATTTATGCAGATTGCTTAGCCTTGAAACTGTCAGCTACTTAATTCTGTTTCTTACTCATTTGCAACAACTCATCATGGGAGTAACCACACTTTAGGCTTGAATCTGGCAACAAAGCAGACATGGCTGAGGTCTCTCATGTTCAGCAGACAGAGGAGTTCAGAGTCTGGAGTCAAAGTTAGCTCCCCCGTTCTCCCCAACCCACCCCCTCCCATATATTTATTTGCCTTGGCTTATACAAGTCATTTAGCTCTCTAAACATCAGTGTTCTCCAGATGACTTGAGAATTCATTGAGATTCCACAGGAAAGTCACATATCAGGACTAGAGCCTTGGTGAATTTGTGGTTTGATTATTAAGTGGACAAAGTTGAAACGCCCTGCTTCTCCAGTTTCCTCTTCTATAAAATGAGAGGCAGTCATACCCTTTGAGAACTTGTGCTTCCTATGATTTCATGGTGGACATTTCTTTTTACTGGGCTGGATCTCTGGAGCTGGAATCCAGGCAGCTTTGTCCCTTTTTGACCTAGTGTCTTTGAAATTTTCCCCAGAAGCATCTGGAAAGCCAACAACTGAGCTTTAGACAGAAACTGACATTAACCCACGACCTGTGAGGTTATGGTTAGAATCCTATCTTTGGGCTCAGTGCCTGTGGCTAAGGCGCCAGCCACATTCACCTAAGGTGGCGGGTTCGAATCCAGCCTGGGCCCACCAAAACAACAATGACAGCTGCAACCAAAAAATAGCCAGGCATTGTGGCCGGAGCCTGTGGTCCCAGCTACTTGGGAGACAGAAACAGGAGACTCGCTTGAGCCCAGGAATTGGAGATTGCTGTAAGTTGTGATGTCATAGCACTCTACCCAAGGGGACAGCTTGAGGCTCTGTCTCAAAAAAAAAAAAAAAAAAAAGAATCCTATCTTTGACACTAACTGGATAACCTCAAGCTAATAGTTCTTCAGGAACCTGCAGTACCAGCGTCACTTGGGAACTTGTTAGAACTGAAAATTCTTGGGTTCCTTCTGAATCAGTGGGTCTGGGGGTGGAGCCACAGATGACTGGGATGCCCTCTAGGCTGAGAACCACAGACCAGAGTCCCCTCTTGGAGAACAGGAATAAGACTGCTGCCTATCTGCTGCTACTTACTCTCATGGGGGAGGATCAGAACAGAGGATGCATTCAGTGCCCGCTGCCTGGTGAAGGAGGAGACTCTACTTGCAGGAGCCCCCACAGGAAACTTACAAATTTATCTTCCATTTTCCCAGCAATTGGAATTAGCCTAAGCACTGATGCTTTTTATTGCTTTTCTCCCCTTCCCCCATTTTATGGTTAGTGATTCAATTATGTGATGGTTATATTTTTCTCTCATTTGACAGTTAGTGATTTGTTTACCTTTTTTCTTTTGCAGATAAAGACTATTTCCTGATTGTGATTCAGAATCCAACTGAATAAGCCACTCTTTTGGTTCCCTGTGTCATTCCTTAATTTAATGCCCCCTAAGAATAATAATATTCATCATGTTAGTAGACTGGCACGTGGACATCGCTTCAGAGCCCACTCAGACCAATCCAGTGGCCATTGGAGGGCTGGCAGCTCTGCTCACTCTGCCAAAGGAATCCTCCCTGCTGTACCAGTCTCTCCCAGAGCTCCCAGGAGGGCCGTCTTTCCTCTTTTCCAGGTTTTGGAGCAAGAGCTTATGAGAAACCCACACCCAGCTTCCTTCTGACCTTCAGTTCACTTTGTTACCCTTGGAAAAGGCTGTTTTTCTTTAACTAAAAATAACTGAAATGCTTGCCCTTTTGTTGTGTCTTTAAACACTAGGTTGAGCAGGCTCTCCCTTCCTGTGTAACCACACAGTCTGAAGCCTGAGCCAGGTGCCTCCCCAGCCCTGGGGCAGACTGCTCCTGGCCTCTGAGAGGCCTGCTTCTTGCTGCGCCTGTGGCCATACCCAGTGTAGCTGGATATATAATTGGTTCCCCACTTTCTGGGCCTCCTGTCCTCAGACATACTCTTTATCACTTCCCACTCTCACCAGTGTTCTAAAAGATGTTTTCTACTACACTGCACTGGGGAAAGGAGTGAGTGATGTTTATTGAGGACCCAGAATGCTCTGACTTCCTATACAGTAGCTGGCATCACCTCACAATACCCTACAGACAGGGCTCTAGAGAATGGCTTACCTAAAGCCCCACAGCCAAGAGCACAGTCCCCAACTGCTCTTTCTACACTGCCCAACCTGGAAACCTGGGAGGTCTTATTCACCAGGCTGAGCTCAGCCTGGGTAAACATCTGCCTCCCACAGACTGGTGTGCAGGGTCACGGAGAGGTTCTCAGAACTTGCCTATGTTCAAGGCTACCCATCATCCAGAAGCACCCTTGTTTTTTACCCCCAGAAGCCACATGTTTTTACTTTGTAATCGGTTTTTGTCTTTTTTCTTTCCCTTGTTAATGCTGGAAAAAGACCCAAAACTATAATGTGAGCCTAGAAATCCCCCTTCCTTGTCCTCCCTGCTCAGAAGTAACTGCTATCTACAATGGGAGCTCTTCATTTAGCACACAGACTTTTCCAGATTTCCACAGATACCTGAAGGGTATCAGTCATGGTAGTAAAACGCATACCCTTAGGAGTTTAGGGATGTAGTTTATAAGGCCTAACAAAATGTCTTCAAAATCTTGTATTTTAATGAAAGGGCTCATCCTTACCCTCTACTGACCTTAACTCTAACCCCTAACCCTGATCCAAACCCCCACAAAGAGAAAAAGATACAGGTGGCACCTGTGGCTCAGTAAGTAGGGTGCTGACCCCATATACCAAGGGTGACAGGTTCAAACCCGGCCCCAGCCAAACTGCAATAACAAAAAAAAAAGCCAGGCGTGGTGGGCGCCTGTAGTCCCAGCTAACTCGGGAGGCTGAGGTAAGAGAATCACCTAAGCCCAAGAGCTGGAGGTTGCTGTGAGCTGTGATGCAACGGCACTCTACCAAAGGCAACAAAGTGAGACTCTGTCTCTAAAAAAAGAAAAAAGATACTAAGAATTTTCTACTCTATAATATATCCATAGTTGTCTTAATAGATAAATAATCCTTCTTAAATAGTTTTCCCTAAATCTGTAAGTAAAATTGGTTCTCTGGGAAACCACTGTTGTTCACTGTGTCCTTATGGGCCCAGGAGGAACCCCTAAGAGAGGGTGATTGGAAACTCCACGTGTAATTATCTCTTAGATTTGTTTTGAAAGAAAGTGGAGTTATGGCCACCAGGATCTTCCTTTTCTCAGAAGCTGCTGGAGACCAGGATCTAAGTCTGAGGCTCCCCTGACGTAGCTTAAGCTTCTGCAAAAAGGGTAATGGGAAAGAAGGTGGGCGGAGGGGGTCAAGTTTCTAGGGAGTGATAGAATAGAGCTTGGGGGTCTGTCCCTCTACCACTCCCTTTTGTTTTCTTTATCTGAAAACAGCCACCAAGGTCCTAGAGAAAGTTGAGGCTCAGTCTTTGGGGAAAACCTGATGACTTGTGAAAATATATAAGTGATAAAGAGCTCCAGGTCCCTTGAGCACTGAGATTTCACACATCAGAAGCCCACCTTGGGTCCATTCAAGTTTGTAACCCAGAAAGTATAACTCCCTGAACTCAATATGTTAAAATTCAATTTCAAATGTCTAAATATTAACACATGTAAAAATCCTAGTGTTTCTTTAGGAAGCATACAGTATCTGTCAAGGTTAGAGACTGACCTTTGTCCCAGGCCTGGAGGGAAAGGCATGGGTTCTGGTTTCAAGAAGTACATTTGCCAAAATTGCAAAGATGTGTCTATGCCTAGCATTCAATTATGACCATTTTTGAACATACAGAGAAATTGAAATAATTGTATACATTCCATCTGAATTCTACAGTTAACCATTTTGTTATATTTCTGTATTCCATAACTCTCCAGTCCTCCATCCATCCTACTGTTTGGTGCATTTTGAAGTAAATTGCAGACAGTACACACCCCTAAATTCTCCCATGTACGTATCATTAGTTTCCTTTTTTGGAAGATGAGTAAGATGTACAGACAATGAAACACACAAATCTTTTTTTTTTTTTTTTTTTTTTTTTTTTGAGACGGAGCCTCAAGCTATCCCCCCATGGTAGAGTGCCATGGCATCACGCTCACAGCAACTTCCAACTCCTGGGCTCAAGCGAGTCTCCTGCCTCAGCCTCCCAAGTAGCTGGGACTACAGGTGCCCACCACAACGCCCGGCCATTTTTTGGTTGCAGCCATTATTGTTGTTTGGCGGGCCCAGGCTGGGGATTCGAACCCGCCACCTTAGGTGTATGTGGCTGGCGCCTTAGCCGCTTGAGCCACAGGCGCTGAGCCGAAACACACAAATCTTAAGTGACAATGCTGACCCCTGTGGATCCTTACTACCCTTTCAAGAAAGGTCTAATCACCCCAGAAAGTTCAGTCCTGCTGCTTCCCAATCACTCTAGCCCATATGGTTTTGCCCTCCAAGATACAGCTTTTGCTTGGGGTCCCTGGGCAGGGTCCTGCAATTTGGGAAAATGGCTGCCTCTCAGGAAATGCTGCAGCTGTCATCTCTGTTTATTGTTAGTTGCTCTGCCTCAGCCCTGGCCATGGCTCCTGGGAATTTTGATCTGGTGTTAACTATTTCTCCAAAAATTAAGAATGCATTATAAGAGGCTTTCTCCTCACTCATAGGTTTGGTTTGGAAACTAACTGCACTTTTGTACATGGTTTCATTGAGAATCCTCATCTTTCCACACCAAATTCTGGTTTGTCTCTATTCACCAAATTATCAGAAAAGGACAAAATGAGAAATGGAGGTCTCATAAATTCCATCAGCATAGCCGGTGGGAATTGCTAAGTTCACAAACACATCAAATTAGTAAAAGCCTTCTACTGTGTAAGCTGATCGATCATACATTCAAGTGAGAAGGAAAATAACACAATTACAGAACATTTTCAAAATGCCAGTTAGATCAAAGGCAACTTTATTTTGGTCTCCCACTGTCTTATCCCCCAGGGCTCCCACTTCCCCTGCCCCTCAGCAAACTATCAAACTATTGGGCAAGCCCTGCTGAGGGAGGGTGGTGTGCCCATTCAAATACTAGAACAGGGACCTGCGTTTGGAGATAGAGGCCACCCCTTCCCCAATGTGGGCTGACTGGGAGCCCAGCTATTCTGGACAGCAGCCAAGTGCTTGACCCTGGCCTTAATTTATTTGCCCACCTTGTGTTGTCATCTATTTCGCTCCTGTTGCTAAGAGAGGGGTGAGATGGGAGAGTAAAGTTCATAGCTTACTGACACTTGTGAACTGGCTTCCAGCTCTGGGCCTGGTTCGTGTTTAAAGCTGCACCTTGCAATTCTGGTTTGTTTTCCACCACCCCTTCTCTCAGGCAGCCTCACCTGCAGTTCTCTTCCTGTGGACAATGTGCTCTTTCTGGCTGACCCCTTCTTTCCTTTTGGCACTTAAAGTCCCCCTCTGCACACTGCAAGGGTCAGATAAAGGGGACATTCCAGTTGAAGTGCTGGGCAGTAAACCCAGAGAGCAAATGCTGAGTAGGCTAGAAGGGATGTCACCAAGAAGAAAATAAAACCAATAGATTATCTGATGCATTTGAATATACTCAGAGACTTTCAGTTCTGCCAGAGATTTAAGGATCATTTAGAAAACAAAAGAGAAAATTTTAAGCCAAAACTGCAATAAAATTGAAAACTTGTACCATAAAAAGCAAACCAGAGCATATTATGCGGCTCAGCTGTGGATAACTATGTAGGTGGGCTACAGCACTCCTGAAGGTGCTATAAACCGCAAGGGAGTTGAGGGGAGGTCGAGTCAATCACCTTCCATGCTAAGAACTAAAGAAATAGCAGAAAACCATGGTGCATAAAGATGTGAAGGCAAACATCAGAATAAACTATGGTAAGTATTTAAAGTGCAATTTTTCTTTTATACTGCAAGTATTTGGGTAAAATTTAAATTTAAAATGTTTGTAATAACCTAACAATATGCTTATAATTTGAACGAGTGCTTCCCAGTCCTTTCAAGTGAAATATCTTAAGAATGAGGATAATAATCTAGAACTCCAGGGGGAGGGGTGGCGCCTGTGGCTCAAAAGGGTAAGGCGTTGGTCCCATATGTTGGAGGTGGTGGGTTCAAACCCAGCCCCAGCTAAAAAAAAAACCCCAGGGGGAGTCTGTAGGAGACCAGAGGGAACCCATCACAATCATAACACTCTTTAAAAATGTGGACACATTTTGCACCCTGGTGGCTCTGTGGAGGGTGTGGGGCTGAGTGGATTGGGGAGCCAGTCAGCAAGGTGAGGACTGATGGTGGCATGGACCCTAGGGCTTACATGTGGTCAGAAGGGGGTTCCAAAAGGAAGGTGCCAAGACCCACTGGTGGGCCTTGACTGTGGGAAGGGAGGGAATGAGACAATCCAGAAAGACTCCTGGGTACTTGCTTGGGCAAGCAGGTGCTGGCTTACTGAGATAGGGATGATTGTGGAGCTTTGGAGGTTAAGAGGGGATCAACAGTTCTGAAATGGCCTGCTTAATTTGAGCCTAGTAGGTATCAATGCATAGAAGATACATTGAATAGATTACCAGTTCGTGCTGAATATATAGCTTTGGAGCTGTCTGTGATTGGTATTTAAAGCCAGGGAGCTTCCAATGAATTCACCAGAGTGTGAGAGGGAAGAGAATGGGGAGGAGAGAACAGGTCTGAAGGCATCACTTGGGACACTCCTTCCTTGGAGGTCTGCTGGGGGAGCAGCAGCCCGCAGAAACTGAGGAG